GTTTCTGACAATCGACGTAATTAACAATGGTGTTATGATATATAACTTCACCAGAATTTAATATTTTCATTTCAAACTTTTATATGTTGTTATTAGCACAGGTCCTATCAGCTGTTAGGTTACTTTAACTAAAATTCTAAATTYWAAAMAWTTAYGTTAATTAGATGGCGGCCATTATGRTRAAGGTGTATATACTAGTAAGTGCGTACGAGCAATTTAAGGATGATTTCAGGGCTATAGCTATACTATTTCGGTAACTTATAMAATTTATAGACTCATAGATCGAAAAGTCGGGAAAGAGTTTGAAAGTATTCAAATGATTTACCTAACGTTTTAGCGAGTAAAAATCGCATAAATTACCCATGATGCACCTGATATAATCTGATGAAATGATGTATGTTAACGGTCAGAATTTTGGAAAATGACCGTATATATAGATTCAAAACAATCACGCCGATTTACAGCCTTTTGCAAAAATTATGAGAATTGTCTAAATATCTAAATATCACAATATCCATATCCATATATTGTCCGGAACACGCGGGTTTGCTAGAATAATTCATTGTTGACATCGAGAAAATGTTCAGAACTACGGATAAGTCTGTCGCCAAAAAAACTAAACTACAAAGACAAGGGACTAAGGGCATCGCGCGGGATTACCCATCATGCACTTGATATTATGATATTTAGATATTTCAACAATTCTCATAATTTTTGCAAAAGGCTGTACAATAGTTATTTATATATTAAGGCGATACGAGGTTGTAAGCTAACTAATCCTCATATAGTACTAAATCATATGAAAAAGTGAAATGTTGCCACGGAAACAATGTTAATAACTTTTAATAGACCTAATCGTCTAACGCGTTGCTATACACGTTTCCAACCAATTTCAAACCACCTGGGAGTAAGCTTCATTGTTCTTTATATTCATTTCATAGATGAGTTCTTAACAACAAAAGCTTTTTATTTTTCTACGGGATTTGAGTTGGTTGGTAACGTATATAGCAGCGCGTTATAGTACTTTAATATACTGCTCAACACTGAATGTCAATGATGCTTTTATATTAATCCACGGAATGAAACAAATATTTTACTCATTTCAAAAAAAGAAACGGATATTAAAATGAACAACAGAAACTGCATTTGATAACAATTGAAAAAGAAAATTCAATGTGGTCGTTATAATGACTAAATGAAATGCGGTGACCTCTTTGAGCCAGAGCAAAACAGATGGCCAACAGATGATCAGTGCGTCGTAATCAAAAAAGTTAAGAAACAGCAAACTAATTTAATATCCACAATATTTCATTGAGGACTAATGTGGCAAGAGTTTGGTAAGTGTTTCATGTAGCTTGCACAAAGCAAAAACGCCCTATGYATAACAAACAGAGTCGAGATTTTGAAGTTAAACTTTTAGCCCCAGAACTAAACGTCAGGTAATCGATCTTTTTTTTTTATCAAAAAACAAAATCGTCGGAAAAAAACATAATTTCAATCAATAGCTCAAGAGAAATGGAATTAAGACCGAAATAATACTGTTCGACAAGGTTTTATACATAAGTACGCAAATAAACTTGAGATTTTTTGATTGCTTGACGGTGTGTCCCGGAAAAGCTAAACGTCAGGCAATCGATTTATTATGGAAAAATATCATTGGATATTTATCGATTAAGAATACTTTACCTGTTTTGATGTTCGATATCAGTTGTGTAAATTCTCGCACGTTGATTGGTTGATAAGATTGCATCAATAAGAGGTCATAACACTGCTGTACTGACAACATCAAGTCTCGCGCGCGCTCAGTTGAAAGAAAAAAATGATTTTCGCTTATAGTTAGACGTAAATATGGTAAACACAAAATTATACACGGTTTTTCGTTACATATTATCCTCTTGTATTGACACACTGTTGTTGTCTAATAATTTTGCAGTGAAACCTCAAGCGCATTTAATGACGTCAAGAGTTTGTCAATACGACTAGCAACTCGACGATTTCTCCAAAAAAAGTCGATTGCCTGACGTCGTTTAGTTCTGGGGCTAAGCGTCAGGCTACTGTAAGGCAACGTCAAAGACTAGTGCAAGTACGTTTAACACACGAAGGTATAGGTTCTTGGGTACCTTAGAAATATCAATTCACGTTAGAAATTACAGAAAAATACAAAATTCAACGAATGGTGTGTATAACTGAAGCGCACAACACCACATATCAAATGCGTTGTGTCCGCTATTTTTGTACTAACACTCCAAAGGAAACGGGCCTAGCAACCGAAAAAATCTTATTAGAGATCGCCTAAATAAATATTATTCCCTCTTACTCTAGACTAACGTTGATAACATGAACGAGGATCCGCAAGAAGAGCCTTCTGAGCCACCGCTCAACAAAACATCTACCATATGGAAAGAATTCTACGAGAATTCCACACTTCATGGTCTGCGAAATATGTTTGAAAGTGAATATTTTGTTTTTAGACTTGTGTGGCTGGTTCTAATGCTGTTGGCGCTCGGGTGGCTTATTTTCTCTGGTATTGGTAGCGTCAGTCGATACTTKGARTACCCAACARCCATTAATWTAAACGAAACAAGGCACGAAGAATTGCGGTTACCAGCAGTTACAATCTGCTCCCAAAACTTTGCCGATAAGTACAAAATATACGCAAACGATAACGAYGAGATTTTTGACATATACAAGCTAAACATAAGCGCATGTGCAGCTACCGCTGAAGTACGTGCAGGACTGGGAGCACCTTGCGGCCACGCTTTGGCATGCACTTTTGCCTCGCTGGATAWTGTGCAAGGCCAAATCAGTGAATGCACACCAAGTTATCAAAACATCATCAAAAAAGCCTTGAAGAATGCAAATGTCACTTTTAACATGCTGGAGTTTATTTATACGTTTAGCGAATCTTGGGAAGARGTTCTSCAATACTGCWTTTACGGTCTGCGTCMCAAGTCTTGCACCAGTGTGAAGATCTTTAAGAAGGCCGTCAAGARYRASCGATTATGCCACACACTCAACGATGATAGCAACMWGARCCTGTCCTTCTATAGTGAAGCCTCAGGRAGCATCGGAGGAATAACCCTTCTGCTTAAAAATCGTCCCGATCGCTATTTTTATCCTAGATTKGYTGAGGGTTTCGTSGTTTATATTCACCAAGAAGGAGCGGGATTCGRTGATCATGAAATCAATGTTCCACCAGGAAGGGTAACATCAATTGCAGTGGAACAAGAAAAGGTAAACTAGCTGTCATGACATTTGCGTACTCGTTCTCCCCCCTTAATTCGAAGTTTTCTTATTTCTTGTCAGCACTATCGAGTAAAATTAAGTGCCATTCTTTTTTTTGTAGATCAAATTATTAGAAGAAAAAGATGGTGGTAAATGTCGAAAAAAAACTCTTCAGAGTTATAAAACATACACCCGAACAGACTGCCTCAACGAATGTGTTAGCAACTCTATTAAACAAAAATGTGGATGCACCATATTAAGTCTTACAGCAGGTATAAACACTTCTTTAACAAGGTTTACTGACGTTAGGGGCACCCTTTGTAGGGATATTAAGAAACATTACGCTCCAATACCTCAATAATTCCTTTTTTCCAATCTTTTTACTTCATCGGCTGATATTGCATCCTATTTCCACAGTTCAAGATGATTCCATAATTTGCAGCGTCAAGCATCAGGACTGTGTCTACAACAATTCAGGTTAGTGTCAATGTAAAAGTCAATTGTGAAAGTTAATTTATATCCTGAAGCACTTGGGTAGATTGTTACTAGAGTAAGTACGGTCCTCGTAGTGTGATCGAAGGATGAAGAAAATTTGTTTCAATTGTTTTTCAGAAGCCACGTCTTACAAAGGATGTGACTGTCCTTTGGCATGTGAAGGAATTAATTATAAAACGTCTGTCAGCTATGGTGCCATGCCTAGAAAGACAATCGCAGGAGTACCTCAAATGCTCCCATTTGCTGATTATTCAGAGTAAGAGTTCTTGATCAACTAGTAGGCAAATAGTAGTATACGTTCGGATTTACGACTTTTGTAAGAAGTTGCAATGTCGCAGTTTAGCGATGTCAACACTTTTCTTCTATTTTAGAAATGATTTTCTGGCCATCTCCGTATTTTATAGCAGNTCTCGAAACACCACGTGGTAAGTGGAATGGTATACTTTTCTAAAATAAACAGACAGGTATGAATTGGATTATAGGAAACACGGATTGAAGAAATAAGAATAAGTACGCATGTAAGTTTACTCTGTGACAGAGGCAAAGCAGTTGACAAAACTAACAGCAAAATTTGTCGTGCGTACCGCACCTTATGTTCTCAGATGCATAGTGCATTCACAAATCATGCAGAACAAGAGTTCACAAGTAACGCATATACGTAACATAATTTGCTTGTATCTTTTTAAGCTAGCGTAACGGAGTTGTAGTAACGCGACGAGATTGTCACCAGGGAATCTCTCTGCACTTAAAGCATTTAGCACCATTTAACCTTAGAATTTGAAACATTGTTTGTATTAAGAAAGCACAGCAAGCATGACCTTGTAGTCATAACATGCCCTTACGCAAGCATGTAGAATAGTTTTCCGCATTAATACTTTTTGGTAAGCATTTGGTGGGATTGCTTGGATGTGTTCGGATTGCAGGTGCAGAATTGGATTCCCATAGTTGTCACTGAACTCAGCAAGTCACGGATAACAGACACGAATAAAAGTTGTATACTCTATATATTGGTTACAAACGAAAAACATTGAACATAAACGCAACAAAGAACGTTAGCAGTTTAACTGTTAATCAATATTAAGACAACGTGCAACGACAAGGACACCGGAACAAACATAACCAGTCAACTACAAACATAGACAGTAAACATTGACACATTGTTATAATATGTAACCATTGCCGACGTTCAAATTTTGGCGACCTTGCAAGTGGTAAGGAGGTCTTTATATATTTACAGAAATGGCCAGTAGACCGTATCGGAGCAGATGTAGGGTAAGTAAGTAAGTCTGGTGCTGGGTCTGGTGGTCGAATTCAAGCTTCGGAGAGATCAGAATGCCGTGTTGTCAAAGAAATATACATGAAGAATGCCTAATGCGGCACATTACCGAGAATAAGGTGCTGAGCTGCCCTAGATGTGGTGCTGCTATTTGGCCTATTAATGATGGCCAACATGATCAGGAGATACCGCCTGTGGGGTACCTCCCCATATATTTACAGACAACCGCTACATTTTTGATTCCCATGGGACTTCGACCGCCGGCCATTAAATGTACCCCATTTTTGTAAATCAACGATTCATGAAGACACATTAGTTAAAAAACAAAAAAAAGAAAAAAAAGAAAACATTGAATAATAACAGTTAGTTGATTTATGTAATATATTTTAATAATGTAATATATTTTGATAGTAATTTTTTTTTATAAAGAGAATGTTTTAGCGATGTACCAGGAGATACATCAAACTAGGCGGGGGAGTATGTTAGACTACGTCTCCCTGTCATTTAGTTAATACAACGTTAATAAGTTAATAGTAGATCTCAGTTTAAGTGATTCGTCAGCAGTTTTATAGTTTGGTCTAGAAATTGAAATATGCCAAGTCATGTACTTGTAGTTTTAGATTACCAGTAAAAATAGTTTTGAATTACCAGTAACTTTAATGTCCAGCAAATTTTATGTTGTAGGGTTAGGATCAATATTGAATTTATAG